AACCACTGGTTGAAGTTAATTGCTTCTACGTAGAAGTTACAAATTTTCAAAAGCAGAAAGGAAGAGAAAATTATATTGGAGGACTTGGCTTTATTTGTTATCATATTTCAAACTCTTGGAAGAGTGGGTTCAGTCCCCAGCATCAAATAATAACAAAACTGTTGGAAATGTTTGGAACTAATTTATTTTTCTTGTTTTTAACCTAGGGTCTGTATGGCAGTGTGATAGTGGCAGGAGGAAACACGTTAATACAGAGTTTTACTGATAGGTTGAATAGAGAGCTTTCTCAGAAAACTCCCCCAGTAAGTACTGTTTGTTGTTCTTCAGTGCTGTTCTTCAGTGATGTGTGTACTCACTGATGGTGTAATTTATAGTAAGTGTTTATTTGTCAGTAGGTACGTGCTATTTTGCGTGTGCTTTGAATGCTATGGTTTACAGCTAATATCTGTTATTAACCAAAATTTCTTAGATAACATCTCTTGGTTACTCTTAAATTATTTGAATCAGTATAACTCCTTAACTTTATACTTAAGTGTCAATAGTCAGGCTCTAGGGAGACAAATTATGGTTCCTGTCCACCAAGGGCTCATTCCATTAGGAAGATTAGATATGAAAAAATTAATGACTGTTTTATTGTGCTGAGTACTTCAGTATTCCTGGAATCAGGTGCTCTTTTGAACACTAAGAAGCAAGTACTTAACTCTCTAGGAGTATCAGAGGAAAGCTTCGTGAAGAAGCTGTAATTTGAATGAAGAGAAGTTCAAGTGGTTGCTAATTTATGAAAGGACATATAGGTGGAGAGACTTCCATGTGCAAAAAGCAAAAAAAAAAAAAAAAAAAAGATGGCATGTTCCAGTAAATCAAAGTATTCAGGGGCTGAGGTTATGGCTCAGTGGTAGAGCACTTGCCTAGCATGTGCGAGGTTCGATCCTCAGTATCGCATGAAAATAAATTAATAAAATAAAAGTTATTGTGTCCAACTACAACTTAAAAAAAAAGTATTCAGTTTATGACTATGTAGAAGTGGAGGAAATAATATGACTGTAAAGATGGTTTATTAGTTTCCTAGGGTGACTATCACAAAGTACCATTAATTGGTGTTTTTAAGACAACAGAAATTTGACTGGATGTTGTGGTATAAGCATGTAATACCAGCAACTTGGGAGGCTGAGGCGAGTGGATCTCAAGTTGAAGGCTTGAGCAACTTAATAAGACCCTAAGCAATTAAGACAGTCTCAAAATAGAAGGATTGGGGTTGTAACTTAGTTGTAAAATCCCTCTGGGTTCAGTGCCCAGACACCCTCCCCCAACTCCGAAAAAAAAGACAACATATTTATTGTCTCATAGTTCTAAAGCATAGAAATATGAAATCATGTTGTCATCAGATTTCATGCTTCCTCTGAACAATTGGAGCCTTTCCTCTTTATAATTTCTAGTGGTTTGCCAGCAATCCTTACTTTATAGCTGCAGCACTTCTATTGTCAGAAGATACTAGTCTCTTTGGATTAACCATTATGACTTCATCTTATATCTTAATTATAACTGCAAAGAGGTAATTATTTCTAAATTAGTTCATGTTCACAGGTTCTAGGGATTAGATTTTAAATATATTTTTGGGGGACACAATTTAAACCACAACAGATTGGTAGCAAGGTGTGTCATATTAATGAATAGTTTGGATTTTATTTAACAGTAATAACATACACACTAAAATCTGGCAATGGACTATGAGCTCATATGTATGTTTTTAAAAGATCACTGTGTGCATTGTGATAACTTTTAAAAGGATAGCAGAACTTGGTTTGAAAAGGTAAGTTACATGGTCTATCAATAACAATATAGGAGTCATATCTTTAATTTTTAAAACTTCTATCAAGTGTTCTTCTGACACTTATGAGGAGTTACTTAGGCCCTAATGACATATGTACTTACCAGTCTTTGACTTCTCATATAAAGAATATTTTATACATGCCATAATTTTATAACTACAAGTGTTATTTGACTGTTGATGTAGCTAAAGATTGACTATATTCTTAAGAGTCTGATTTAGAACATAACCTAAAATATAGTACTAATCACTAGATTTCATACAAAGTCCCTGAATAATGAATAGACATGGGTGGCCCAACATATGCTTAAGACTGATTAGAGAATATTTTGTCCTTTAAGTACCTACTGTAATTAAAAGTGAACAAAATAATAAATTCCATTCTCATAAATAGGGATTTTCCTCACCCACCTACACATGTTCAGCCCTCCTATGTCCCACACTCTATTTCCCTTCTTTTCCTTCCCCCATCTCTCTTACACAATTTATTTCATTTTGAGGACAACTCAAATATATGTCAGTTCATATTTTGGATAACTGGAAGGTTACGATGACTTGAGAACTATCTTCAGAGGCAAATTCGTAGATGGGGGTAAAAATCTTTCAGTATAGGTGAGATGGGGATAATAACTGAACCACAGAATTATCAGGGGAGTTCAAAACAGAAGAATTGATTTGGAACGTATGAATAGAAAACTTACCTGAGATCTGATGATGACTGCTTTTTGATTTGGAAGGGTTGGAGTAAACTAAGGAAGGATTTGAATGTGTGAAGATTAGAAAGGGAGGACTGTGGAAAAGGGAGCAGGTTGAGATAATTATACTTGGTATTGGATGAAATACCATATGGAGGAGTTAGCATAGTACCTTATTTATCATGTTAAATACATGTTTTTTTATTATAGGATATAAATTGTGAATGCCATCCTTTGAGTATGCACTTTTCTAAAGTTTATACCGTTGATTTTTATCATATTACACATTGAAAGCCATAATCAGAAAAACCTTTAAAAACCTTTCTATGGCCGGGCCGGTGGTGCTCACCTGTAATTCCAGAAGCTTGGGAGGCTAAGGCAGGAGGAACATGAGTTCAAAGCCAGTCTCAGCAAAAGAGAGGGTGCTAAGCAACTCAGTGAGGCCCTGTCTCTAAATGAAATACAAAATAGGGCTGGGGATGTGGCTCAGTGGTTGAGTTCAATCCCCAGTATCCACCGCCCCCCCAAAAAACACCTTTCTATGAAGTAGTCCAACCTATTCCTACTATTAGCCTGTTTCAGAATTACCATGTTTAATCAGTTTGAACCACAATGTGTAATATGTGATAAATCAACTGTATAAATTTTAGAAAAGTTGTCAAAGTTGAATTTCCTGAGTTAACTGTTTTAATTGTTGTAATGCTTATTCTTCCCTCTCTGTTTTAGAGTATGCGGTTGAAGTTGATTGCAAATAATACAACGGTCGAACGGAGGTTTAGTTCATGGATTGGTGGCTCCATTTTAGCTTCTTTGGTTAGTAAATAAGCTATTTTGCAAATTTAGATTATTACTGAATTAAATATACTGAAAATACTAAATTTCACAAAAACGCTAAATATAATTCCAGTGCTTCATTTATCTTTGCATTTTATAACTATCAAATGAGTGGAGACCCATTAAGAATGTTTTATAATGTTCTAACAGAATGCCTCTTTGTTATTTAATTTCAGTTTCCCTTCTCAAACAGAGGTAGGAATATTGAAGTGTTCATGCCTCTTCTAATAATAACCCTGCTGGCACTGGCTTTGCCTGCAGTGCATTTAAAATTCAGTCAGTCTAGTTGTTCTCTTGTCTGTTGGTGAGGTATAGGAAGTTAGGAGTTGGAGTTGGTCCTTTGAGCAAATGAAATCATGATGCTGGGTCTTGGACTGGTATCTGCCTTGAATCAAGAGGAAAAGTCCTTGTGATTTTCTGGATCCTACACTTGTGGGATTTCCCCTTTGCCTCAGAGTAGCTGAGTAAAAGTCACTAAGTACATAGGCTTTCCAGTGATTTCTGTTGTTGCCTTAAGTTGGCAACTAGCCATCACAAGCAGTACCCTCTTGTCTTCCTTGACAGCCATTTTCTAAGTTCTACACAGATTCACAGGTATAAAAGGATTTAATATTCTTTATAACCTGAAAGGCAGGTTTACATTGTATCTTGGGATGAGTCTGGAGGAATTATGGACTACTTTGTTTAGGAAGGGAGTTTAAAAGTTCTTCAAAGTTTAAGAGTTGTTAAAACAAAGATATTAAAAGCAAAATGTACTTTTCATTAATAAGTAAGGCAAAAATTATTTCTTTCCATTTTACAGGGCACCTTTCAGCAGATGTGGATTTCCAAACAAGAATATGAAGAAGGAGGGAAACAATGTGTAGAAAGGAAATGTCCTTGAACAAGAGTTCCCAAAACTGTACCTTCCTGTGTCACCTTACGTTTCATAGCTTTAGTATACTCAGGAAAGAATGACCATCTTTTGTAGAATGTTTATACATTTTTGCATATTTCAATTTCCACTTAAATTTTTTAAGGCTTTAACTAGCTCTATAAATTAAAATGGGTTTGTGCTTTCCTTGAAATGCACTTATTCTTATTACAAGCATTTTATAATTTTGTATAAATGTCTATTTTCTCTAAATATTTTGCTTTCAGTAAAATGCTTTCCAACTCTGTTTAGTATATTAATTACCAGTGGGTGGTAGAATTGCTTTTTATTGACTAGTAAAAGTTACTGCCTATGCTTTTACCTCAGGCTTGCAAATTTAAATAAAAATTACTAGCCATTCCAGAAATATTTTTGGACTGTTGTATGCTGTGACTTGCTACTTTTAAATACCAAAGCTATATTTTAAATTTTTTTAAGATGTTATTTTGTTCATTTATTTATATGCAGTGCTGAGAATTGAACCCAGTGCCTCACACATGCTAGACAAGTGCTATGCCACTGAGCTACAACCCCAGCCCCAGCCAAAGGTATTTTTAATCATTATTTTCAGTGAAAATGTTTACTGTCTATTAACAATAGTGTCCACATATGGTTCATTTCATATTCACAAGTAATACTAAAAAGGTTATCTGAATTCCAAATACTAACTTATTGCCTTAGCTTTGGCGGTTCTATACCCTCTAAGATAAGCAGGGAATATTAACGCCTCTTTAGATGTCAGGATTTAATTTAATCTGAACTTTATGCTGGATTTGTAAAAAATCTTATAGGCGACAGACCTCTTTGACAATTTACATGCCATGTTAACCCTCAGGACAACTGATAGGTCATTTGATCAAAAGCACAATTTCTTTATAAACCACTTAACATATATTTACTTTTGTATATAGACAATTATACAAGAAAAAACACATAGTAAATTAACAAGTCAGACTTTTTAGACAGAACTTGACTTCTGAGCTTCAGCAAGATGTGGAAACTTTTCTTGAAGACGTTTTTCTTTCTTTTTCTCTAAACTTTGCTTTCTTGCTTTGAGGCGGGCTTGTTTCTCAAGCCTCAATCTAGAATAATAAAAGCATAACAGTAATTTTATATGAAACTATTTCTTTGCTACTTAATACTATCAAAACATGTCCAAACATGCCAGTCTCTGATTTGGTGTTTATATTATTAAACTTATAATAATCACTGTAAATCTATACAAGTCAAGATAAATGTGAAATCAAAATCAACTATAACCCTACACTAATACCATTTCTGTTTTATGACTGGAAAGAATGTTCATATCTTATAAGCCTGGAGTAGACTAGGCCTGAAGTTCAATTCTAGTATGACTGGAAAACATTCTGACACTTGTAGGAATGCCCAAATTTTCAAATAGCACTCACCCTAACTTATCCTCTTCCCTACACACAGAATAAAATCATGCTAAAAGATGACACTTAACACTGATTAGACTTAACCTTTCTCTTAAAAGAGTTTGTCCCTCCACATTAGCATTCCAGGGCAGTACGCATTTGTGCTTCAGGAAAATTTTGCTGATCTGTATGGCCACTTGGGAGTGATCAAAATTGAGGATGATAAGTTCATGGATGCCAAACCTCTACTGTACTGAAATTGATATTTTTATGGGATACTTTACTGATCAGTATATAAGGGTTGATATAAAATACACAATAAGAGACACTTCTGGGTAAAGACAAAAATATACATGTGTGTGTGTGTGTGTGTGTGTGTACATATACATACATATAGATATAGATATATACACACAGACTAAATTGTTGAAATATTACCCATTCATCAGTCTGATCCAATTAGATTTTGGCCATTTACAAAAACTCATCTGAGTGAAAGAGTTTTTCTATTAAGAATGTTTTGAAGATTACATTCTTTGAAGGCTAAAAAAATTACTTTCAATGATAAAACCATGCTTTTAGATGTGGATCCAGTGTTTTAAATAAGCATTTTTTAAAAAGCATTTTAAAAAATTGAAAAAATTATTTTTAATTATCAGGCGGTGGTTCTTGGGACTACCTCATTTCTCTATCGTAATATCAGTCTTATGTTCTCCCTATTCAACGATAAACTTACGTGAGAATTTGCTACGGAAAATACATGATCAACTTTCTGCAGGCTCGCATGATTTCATATATAATGCAACAGACTTCTCTCCCTAGTCTTTGTTTTCATTAACCTTGTAATAACATGAGCTCATATTTTGTGCAACTGATTTATTTGGAGCTTGCATTTTAACATTACAGTTGGATTTTCCCATTTACTTATATACAGATAGATGGAAAAGCAATAGAACTTTTGATAGTATTGTTAACTATTGTTAACAGTGGCTGTTTCTGGATAGTGAGATTACATATGACTTTAATTTTCTTTTATTAACTAATCTTCCTATTTTTTTCCTACAATGAATAGGTTACACTTTCATAATATAACAAAACAAAGTTTAATATATGTCAACTGATGTTAAAAATGCTGTTTCATTATGATTAAAGATATTTGTGCTCACCTCAGAAAATGATCCACGTAAGGCATTGCAAAGAATCGTTTCCTATTGTATCTTTTATTTAGGTACCAAGGTATAGGCCACTGCTTGAACTTGTGCCTGCCAATAAAACAAGTTACTTCTTTATAGAAAATACTTAACATATTTTCACTTTACTGATTTTCCAGCTTTTCCTAATTCATGTCAAATAAATTAATCCAAATAAAAGTTTAAAAATAAATATTTTTTGGTTTTTGCTTTAAAGCAGTACTGGGGATTGAATATAGAGCCTCAAGCATGGTAGATGAGTGCTCTAACACTGAGCTACATTCTGTCCCTAAGTTTTTAGTTGTTTTGACAAGTTCTCTTTTCTGTGTTGAATTAGATGGTTACAGACAGCACAGCTACTCTCCTATGGCTCCAAGCAGTCCATTAAAACAACTTGTCAAATGAGTAGGTGCATAGGGCTGGGGCTGTAGCTCAGTGGTAGAGTGCTTGCCTAGCATGCATGAGGCATTGGGTTGGATCCTCGGCACCACATAAAAATAAACAAAATAAAAGCATTCTGTTCATCTACAACTACAAAAAAATAAATAAATAAAAAGAAAATGAGTAAGTGCATAATATTGTGATGGTGTTTCAAGAGCACAGTAAGGTCTAATAATCACCCAAAATGCCTTCTCTCCTTGGCTGTCCAACGTTTAAAATACTACTAAGAAAACTTCATTTTGGCTTCTCAACTCAAGTATAAGTACACACCAGAAGACAGGTTTATTTGCCCTGGGCCAATTATTTATGACTCAGTGTACTATTAGAGCCTTTCACAAAGTATGACAAAAATTCTGTATGTAGTAGAGAATAGGAGGCATTAACTTTTTCATAATTTGGCCTAGGGATTATTTTGACAGCAACAATAGCAAACTGAAACTGATTTATGTGACCCTGATTCCTCCAGAACTTTTTTTAAGTTGCAGGTTCTTAATGGGTAGAGAGAACAGTGGTGTATCCTGAAATTAGCTTCAAGAATCTTATAACTTGAAATGATATGTGTATATGTTTATGTTCCTGGATCAAGGATCCAGAGCTTTCAAAAAATTCTCAAAAGATCCCATGACAAAAGATAAGAATCAATGTTATAAAAAACCCTATACATACATAACAATCATGAGAATGGGATAGTTGAGCTGCTATTGGTTTTATCAAAGTGACCTGCAGTCCATATCCTAGTGTTGCAAATAGGTCTGGGTCCTCTTCTTATATAAGATAAATCTCTGAAATGATCAGAGTTAATATTATTAAAAGATAGTGGACAGCAAATGAGGTATGGGATCTCCATTCTCATCTTAGATGATCACAATGTAATCTATGTACCAGATGACTCTTCCAAAGATGTCTCTTCTCCAAGCACCAGGTCTAGCTTTTTCCTGACCAGTCTGAAGAAGCCTTAATGCATCTTCTCTTTCCTGGACAACTTTATCTAATGCATCCATTGAATCAACCACCTAACAAGAAATCAGAAAAAAAGATTCAATTTCAGCACTCACCTCCAACAGAATTCCAAAGAAAAAGAATATATAAGACCAAGGATATATAAAATCTATGATGGGGGGTCTGAGGTTGTGGCTCAGTGGTAGAGTGCTCACCTAGTACGTGTGAGGCACTGGTTTCGATCCTCAGCAGCACATATAAATAAATAAATTAAGGTATTGTGTCCAACTACAACTAAAAAAAAAAAAAAAATGATGTTTTTATCAAGGAACCATTGTCAAGTACTTCCTAAAATCCTTTTTGTACACAAGTGTCTATAATACCACTTAAGTTTCATTTAAATAAAAATCTATTTAGCTCAGATTCCCAAGTATTATTTTGTCTGGAGTGGGATACACTTGTATAAATTCCTTCTGGAGACCCAATTTAACTCAGGCTATTTCAAAACTCTGTGAACTACTATAGTTCACTACTTTATACTACTATAACTATAGTTATACTACAAAACATATTTTAGCCTGGACAGATCACTGTTTCCCTCATATGCTCACACCATTTTGGTTGGCTTTGCAGCTGTTGCTATTACAGGGAAAGGAGTACCAGTCTATATCCTGATACTAGAGTAATTGCAAAGATTAACCAGAATACAAAAAGACACTATTAGAATGTCTACATTTTAAGATTTCTATTGTGTGATTTCTAATGTACATAATATACTGGCAGAATAATGTATTTAAAAATACCCATATACTGGGAGATAGTAAAGTCACAAGAGCCAAACTTGTTCATATTTCTAAATAATGAGTGCCATTTTTACATGGGTAGGTGTGTGTATCACCCTTGAGCATCACGACACATGTCAAATACTGCCTATATATATTTGTTGCTTTTTTTATTAGTTGCACATGAGAATACAATGATCTTGACATATCATACATTTGAATCAAATGGGATATAATTTCTCATTTTTCTGAGTGTATAGGCTGCAGAATCACACTGGTTATACAGACATGTATATACATACAGCAATACTAGAGTCTATTTTATTCTGCCCTTCCTATCCCCCTTCCCCTCCCCTCCCATCACTTCTCTATACCCAATCTAATATGACACATTTCTTATAAAAATCCTCAAAAAGGATGATTCAATTATAAAGATAATCCCACAGTTTGCTATGAGACTTGAAAGAAATGAAAGCTACTCCTTCAGACAAATTACCTTCTAACCTGTTTATTTAGCTAACAGCACTATTTTCAACTTCACTCGAGGCCTTAGAATAAATTTATGTTTTCTCAACTATATGAATTTCTACAAAATCTTTGCTAAAAGATGGGTAAGAAAAATCCTGTTACGAAGACAGACAAACTTAGGAGAGGGAAAGAAGCACACTGGTAAGAGCCTAATACAGACCTCTCAGATTCTTCAGGAATCTTAAGTAAATCTGGCTGTTGACTGACTGTATTAAAGAATCTGCCCAAACTACAGTAGGGCTTGAGGCTCCAAACTCAAATCTAATGAAATGAAAGTAAATGACTACCAAGTCCACAGAGTTAACATTCAAATGTTCATACCAGCAGTCAAGAAGGAGTATCAGAAGTATAGGTTAAACATCATGTCAATGTTCAAAAAGTTTTGGACTTTAAATTAGTGATGCTCAAAAAGTAAAGTTTATGCAATTATTCCCAAACCCAGAACACTCTAAAATCTGAGATATTTCAGGTTCCAATCATTTCCTAAATGATAAGCTTATCAATGAGTATCAGATACTCCTCATTCAAACAGTCAACTTCAAAGAAACTTCTAGTTTATAAGTTTCCCAGAGCAAAGAGAGTCAGCTGAGAGAATATGAAAGTAATGAGGCAATGTCACAGTAATAGCCTATACTCCTACTTATAGTCAGAAATTAAATTTAGAGAGTAGCCCTTAAAAGTTTTCTGAGTCTAAAAATGCACGTGTCCTGACACAACAAAGAGAAGCAGCACACATAGTCTGGGTCTTTTATCTCAATGTGTACTTAATTATTTTAGGCACAACCATAGCAAACTACTCTGCCACAATTCAAAGACTAGATTTAATAGTGTTTTATAAACAAAATTTGTCTGTAATATGTGATATTTTGTCCCAGTTGTAATTCTCATGTTTCTCTTCTATCTTCCTAAACAGTTGCAAACTGTCAGTTTATATCTTTTTTTAAACCTCAGATTTTTTTAACTATTTTTATTAGTTGTTGATGAAATTTTTTATTTTATTTATTTGTATGTGGTGCTGAGAATCGAACCCAGTGCCTCACACATACTAGGCAAGTGCTCTGCCACTGAGCCACAACCCCAGCCCCGTCAGTTTATATCTTATAGAAAATATTTTTCAACTTTTTTTAAAAATATTTTTTAGTTGTCAATGGACCTTTATTTTATTTGTTTATATGTGGTGCTAAGAATCAAACCCTGTGCCTCACACATGCTAGGCAAGCGCTCTATCATTGAGCCACAACCCCAGCCCCAATATTTTTAAATTTTGAGTAACAAAGTTTCCTTAGTATGTCTAAGAAACACTAAGAACACTAAATAAATTTGAAGTTTGGTTACTGCAGGGTGAGGGATAATCTGTTGCTGAAGTTCAAAGTTCTTACAATAGCATTATTTTAGCAAAAACATTTTCACCAAAAAAAAAAAAAAGAATGTTATTTATAAATCATCCTTACTTGTCAATGCACTTACAAGAGTCTATAAAATATGAACTTCCTTCACAGCAGAGTTAGCAAATATAGATGAACATAAGTGACTTTACTTTTTAAATTTTATATAGCAATGAGGGCACCTACCCTGCACATCTTACTCTCCAATTATATAAAAGAAATCAGTTTTTTTTTTTTGTAAAGTGGCCAGTTCCAGGGCTGGGGTAGGTTAGTACCAAACAAATTCTCTGCGATGCCTTCTGTCCACTTGCTGGCATAAGGACACAGCATCCATTTTGAAGGAATTAACATCAATTAAATATGGGATAATGTTATTAAGGGATCATAACTCATTCAATAAAATTGGAATCCATGTCTCCCCACTAATGGTAATAAATGAAAAAAGACAAATGCAAAGATGAGAAAGCCTTCCCTTATAGAAGAAAGCCAACTGAAAAATGTAGAAAGCCACAGGATTAGAGAATCACTACTTAGCAAATATAATAATAACTGATTAGAGTAAGAATCATCAGTGGATACTAAAACTAGTGAGTGAAGCTGAGAAGTAACAGGATATTTACATGATCTTAAAAGCATTTCCTAACAAGATATTTATTTAGATACAAAGAAAAAACAGTGGAGAAACCTAAAGGACACCTCCTAATCCAAGTTATTATTGTTTTTTTAATCCAAGTTATTAAGGCTAACATCTTCATTAACAGAACAAATTAACATCCTGCCCCTCCTGATCTAATGTACTATGCAGAATCCAGTAGCACTTCAATCCTATCATGAGGAATATCAGGTGAATCCAAATAGAGGGACTGAACTATATGCTTAATGTCAATGTCATATATGTTTTTTAATATTTTTGTTTAATAAGTTTCTTTAGTAGTATGTCACAAAACACAAGAACACTAGAAAGACTGAGACTCCAGATTAAACAGGACTAAGACATAAAACTGGAAAATGCATAATCCAGGATTTTATTGTTGTTTATTTTAAGGATGTTGATGGGATATTTGATAAAATCTGTATAAGATTTATACATTATATAAGTTACATAATTATATAATGTTAAATTCCTGATTTAAAATTGTATATTTATATACACTGTTGAGCTTTTTTGAAATATATTGTTTTTATGGATTAAAGGGACATCATATATACAACTTATTCTCCAAGAGTTAAGACAATGTATAGAGAGGTGCAGGAGGTAGAGAAGCATAACAGAAATATGGTAAAATATTCACATGTGGAAAGTGAGTAAAGGGCATATAAGAATTCATTATACTGTTTATGCAACTTTTATCTAAGACTAATATTATGTCAAAATAAAGTTAACAAAAATGTTATGTAGCTCAATTTTCACTAAGCCAGAAAACCTTCTCCATAATTAGGGTAAATAACTGAGGTTTTATTCCATACTTTCTTTGATTTTCTCCAAGGATACTATGTCCTTCCCTCTTGAAGTCAGTGTGGCAATCATGGTTGGGACAGGTGGGAAAAAGAAACTAATTAAAGTTAGGCACAAGACTAAAATTGTTAAAAAACCAAGTTCTGTTTCCATGACAGAAGAATCAACAACATTTGACCTCGAAAGCAATCTAGGAAAAAAAACTTATAAATCTAACTAAATAAAATGTAAAATTTCTACATGGAATATACACATTTTAAACACAGAAAAAAAGGAGGCAGATCTACATATATGAAAGAAATCCATGGGTAGGTGAAAAGTCCAAGTTTCAGGAGATAATATGCAGTATAACCAAATTTGTGTACATAAAAATAATTAGACACACTTCTACAAATATAGACTAATTTGGAGGATAAATAAGAAACACCTAAAATTTATTATTCCTTGGAGTGCAGTAGGAATACAAAAGATTTTTCTCTTAATGATAACAAAAATCTAATAAAGAAGATAATTAATCTTTTCACAACCACATGAATATATATAACACTACGGACTGTACACTTAATAATGGTTAAGATGGCAAATTTTATGTTATGTGTTTTTTACCCTAGTAAAATAAATACATTTTAAAAAACTGTTCTAATTAGTGAGAAAGTGGCTGAACCAGAGATGGAAATGTATAGTGGTATAGCTACTTTATTTTTTTATTTCTTGGGGTGCTGAGAATTGAACTCAGAGCCTCAGGCCAGACCACGCCTGTGGTCTAACACTGTGCAGCTGCTTCAGAATATAATTCAACTGTTTCTTACAATGTTAGACAGAGGTTTTACCATATGACCCAGCAATTTCACTCCTATGTATCTTCTTAAGAGTATTAAAAATATATATCCGCCCATATGTTGGGGTTGCAGGTAGGATTGGGGAGTGAATAGAGATGGGCATGAGTTTTATTTTCAGAGTGATAGAAATATTCTAAAATACAATAGCTGTGATGGTTGCACTCTGTCAGTTTACTAAAAATCAAACAAGAATAGAAAAAAATATGTCTTATTTGATAAGAAATACAGGACCTATATACTCACTCCTTTTAGCTTTTATCCTGCACTTGACTGTCAAGCTTCCCACAAGCTTTACCTTTTTTTGTTTGTTTGTTTTTAATACCTTTATTTTATTTATTTTTTTAATGTGGTGCTGAGGATCGAACCTAGTGTGTCACACATGCAAGGCAAGCACTCTACCGCTGAACCACATCCTCAGCCCCAAGTCTTACCTTTTCTAACCGCTCTGGACTTGGCATTGGCAATCTCTGCCTCTTAGCCTCCTGCTCGAGAGTTAGAAGCATGTTTCTTTCTTTCAGTAGGACATACCTGTATCAAGGAACACAAAACCTATGATGCTGTTCTATGGTGGTTGTGATTTCTGACACCAAATTTAATGATCTATACTTGAAAGTCCTTTAGAAATTTCAATGCATAAAACATTGTGATTAATCTTTTATACAGAGCTATATCTTTGCTTATTCATTTGTTCACAAAATCTTCCACATATCACGTTAAATGACAGAAGAGTAATAAAAAGCCTAAAATATAGTCTCTACAGTCTAAGTAGACAGAGAAGGAAAAAGGGATATAAGAAACATTTACTGAGTACCTGTTATAAGTTAGGCAGCATGTTAAGCATTTTATATACAGTATTTCATTTCATTCTCAAAACAACCTTCTTTTTTTTTTGATACTGAGGATTAAACCCAGGGGTGCACTGAGCCACACACCCTCCCTTTTACTATTTCATTTAGAGACAGGGTCTCACTGGGTTGATAAGTTGCTGAGGCTGGCTTTGAACTTGACATCCTCCTATCTCAGCCTCCCGAGCCACTGGGATTACAGGTCCAAGTTACCCCGATGGCCTCAAAACAACTTTTTGAGGTTCGTGACTATGCCCCTTCTTCTCCCTTCCTAAATGAAGTATCTTAAGTTTGAGAGAAAAAAACATATTCTGGGTCACATAGCTAACTTTGCATTCAAATATTTTGGGTCACACAGTGACTTCTACATTCAAATCTTGAGCTGTGTGCAAAACCCATTTCTATGTATTTTAATTAATTTTTATTGGTGTATTACAGTTATATATAATAGTGGGATTACTGAGACATATTTATACATATATATGTATAAATATTTATACATATTTAAATATTTATACACATATATATAAAACATAATTTGGTCAATTCCATTCTCTAGTACCTCCTTTGATCTCCTCTCCTCTGTCCACCTGGTTCCTTTCCTACAATCTATTGGTCTCCCTTCTATTCTCATTAGAGTTCCCCCATTCCATATATACTTTTTAAACACACTCTATTGTTAATAAGATACCTCTTCTGGCTATAACAAAGAGGAAAAGGCTTCACAGAAAAGATAGGATTTGTTAGGGTGGAAAGGAGAGCAAAGGAACCAAAATTAAAGGTACTGAAGCAGATGAGCTAAGATGAGGGGAAGGTTTTGTGACTATATCTGTTTATGAAACAATCACTGCCAGTTCATCATTGAGACTCACATCTGTAATCCCAGGGACTTGGAAGGCGGAGGCAGCAGGATCACAAGTTCAAGGACAGCCTCAGAAATTTAGCAAGTCCCTGAGCAACTTAATGAGACCTTGTCTCAATATAAAAAGTTAAAAGGGCTTGGGATGCAGCTTAGTGGCAAAGCATCCCTGGATTTAATTCTCAGTAACTCCCAATCCCCCCGCCAAAAAAATTAGAGTTGGAAGAAAATAAAGGAAATGTGGAGGGAGCTAAAAATCAGATAAAGAAATTGGTGTACACCATACTATGGATATAGATAATGGGGGGGGGAAGTGAGGCACAAGATTGTTTGGTGTCAGCCTCAGTCAATATTGAAATAGCCCTACCTATCCCTTTACTGCTAAACCACAATAACAGTGCTTAAACCACTTATTTTTCAATAGTAAATATATAGTATTAGTGGGTTTTATAAGCACTTTAAAGGCCTCTTAGAGTGCCTAGGTAGATAAAATTTATGAATTAAGTGGGTTGAGTGAAAGGACAACACGGAGGATAAAGAATGGTGGTATGCACTGTTCCATCTAGAAGGGACAGAAGGGACTCTTGCTGCACAGACCAGTCAGTTGTTGTCATGCAGGAATGTAGGGACAATGTTGCCAGCTCACATATCTGATCAATCAAAAGAAATCAGGAGTCTATTTTTTATGTGATATTTCCCAATTTTAAAAGCAACTACAGCTTAAACAAAACACTTCTGGGCTAAACACTGTCAATTTAAAAGGTAACCCTTTCTTAAATTCTCTGAACCCTCTCAAATTCATTAGGAGTACCTGCCAGAAAAATTTACCTAAATTCCCAGTTAAATGCTTCCTCTAGCACAAAACCCCAAGCAAATAGGCTAAAGAAGCCAGACCATTACTATTAAAAAAAAAAAAAAGGTAGTAGAAAGAAGAGAAGTCTAAATGTGATGAACTATTTCCCATTTCATTTTATTAGTTTACTGAAAATGCTATTATAAAGGTATTAGTATGACTGGTAGCAGTTACAGTAAAATTTTTAAAACCCCGACTATTTGAGACCTGTCTTCATATAATCTAATCTCTGTCACATTTATAAAATCTCCCATGATCTTATATATCATATATGTCATTCAGAGTACTGTAAGACAAATCACTACTCAATTTCTTACATCAGATAGATATATCCCACTGTTTAATACTGTAACTGTTTCAAACACCAAGATATTAGTGTACTTACCAAAGTTTATGTAAATCTTCATTACTTTTGTTCCTTAACTGCTGACAAGTCCATGCAGCTCCTATTAAAATGACAAATTTATAACATGAAATAATATTTCTAGCTATGTCCTTGGCAAATTGCTTATCTCTCTAAACCTGTTTCCTTACTGTAAAATACACAATAACAACAACAACAAAAAAAAATTGAAGAACCAACAATAAAAAATAAAAAAAAAAAAACCAGAAAAAAAAATACACAATAACATTCTTACATACCATTATTAGACAGCAATAGGAAAATAACAGTAATATCACTGGCAATAGCATTCAGAAATTTCATTTTATTTATTTGTTTGTTTGGGGTATTGCCAGTTTCATTTATTTATTTATTTTAAGACAGGGTCTCACTGAGTTGCTTAGGGCCTCACTAAGCTGAGGCTAGCCTTAAACTTGTGATCCTCCTGTCTCAGTCTCCCATGTTGCTGGGATTACAGACTTGCACCACCATGTCTGGCCTCAGAAAGTTTTAGGCATCAGTATCAAATGTATTTTTGGACCCTAATATTAAAACATTTTATGTAATTACAAATTAACTTTTTATTATTACTAAAAAATGGAGTCTAAAATAAGCCTTAAACTTCACTTAAGTTAACAGAAAAACAAGGAAGTGTCCTCAAAGTAGAAAATCTTAATTGATGGTTGCATATCAGCCAGCAATCTCTGGTACACAATGTGAGAAAGCAGTCATATTAGTTTAGCTTGAAATGCTGGAGAAGGCACTGCATGTATCACAGCTTCTGGGCAAATGTCAACTGTCCAGTGTTCACTCTTGTGGGATGAAGATTTCTCAACGTAAAATCCGATGTTAGAGACTGAGTTAACAGAGAGGAAGATGATTTGTAAACTTTTGTCTGTTGATCATATTTCATTTGCAGAGGCATCGGGAATTTAGTGTTGCCAAATATGGAAATACAATTTGCACTAAAAGTAAATAAAACACAAAGCCCCTCCTCCTCGTCCATAAAAAAAACAAAAAAAAACAAAAAAAACTTAATTAATACTTCGAATCTACTCCTTTTCTAAACCTTTTGCTAACCTACTAAGGAATTATTAACTGTATTATTTTGATGACCTTTTGATTTTCTCTGGTAGACAGTCCAAAGGAAATGAAAGGAAACATCTAACTAATTCTTAAACTGGATAAATAATTCTAGAATAATAGAGGGTTCAATAAATACATTTAATATTGACCAATCCAAATATCTCACCAGATTTTACTTTTTCTTCTCCCCAATTCTTTGGATCATCAAAAAATTCTTCAAGTCCTTTCCTTGACAATGTGGTATGAAGGAATTTACACTGGTAAAAGGATGTGACATTTGGTACATTCTTAGGTAACAAACTAAGAGAAAACCTGCAACATAACAAATAAAAACAGATGATTAAAGTTTTGCAATATTTGGATTTTATAAGCAATAAAATGAATCTTTTCCACACTATAATGTTAAAAAACCTATCTGGAGGCTGGGTTATGGCTCAAGCGGTAACGCGCTCGCCTGGCATGTGTGAGGCGCTGGGTTCAATCCTCTGCACCACACAAAAATAAAATAAAGATGTTGTGTTCACCGAAAACTGAAAAATAAATATTTAAAAAAAAATTCTCTCTCTTCTCTCTTTAAAAACAAAACAAACAAACAAACAAAAACCTATCTGGGAATTCAGCACCATAAGCAGTAAACTTTTAAGATACTTCAGAAAGTATTTTTGATACTGCATCATACAAGTTCCTACCCAAGAATTTCAGAGATAATATATTTAAACAATTTTATGTTAAGGTAACATTTTTAGGTCTTTTCTCCTTTGTGGTGAGTCTTTCAGTAAATAAAAACATTTTAAAGGGTGACTTTGGGACATGTATCAAGGATTCAAAGTTCTTCCTCCTTTAACTCAGTGATTCTTTTAGCAATATTAACTAAATAAATGACCATACATGGGAATTTACAAATTAAAATGTCTACTAGAATATGTGGAGGGGGTTTAGCTCAGTGGAAAAGCACTTGCTTAGTTCACATAAGGCCCTGGGTTCCATCCCCAATACTAGAAAAAATAAAATAGACTAAAGACAAATAAAGTATTATATATGATATCAAAACATGGATAATTACAGAAATATGCAAATGTGTAGAATGGTTAAAAAATTATTGTGCATCTGCATGATAAACTATTAGTAATTTTAAAAGAATATTTAATGATCTTGGAATATAATTTAAAAAGAAACTAGTGAAATGTATCTCAAGTGTTGTTTTTCTACTAAGAATAAATACTTGGATCTACTCTTGAGAAAACAATAAATTAGTCTAAAAAAGCTAACCATCAAAAATATCAGTATGAAAGAGGAAAAAAAGAAAATGTTTTGAATCACAGAAGACTTAAAGGACATGGCAATCTATGCTATAAATGATCTTTCATTGGATCCTAAATAAAAAATTTAAAAAATTAATTTGGACAATTTAAATTTGGACAATTTAAGTCCGGACCATAATAACAATCGTTACTATAGATAACAGTAGTACAATAATGACAATACATTACTATATTTCCTGTGATCTTTGTGGTAATGCAGTATGTTTGTTTCTTAGAGGATATATGCCAAAAGTACCATGATATCTGAAATATGACATATGTCAAATCGTTCAGAATAAAAAGAGCATATATAGAGTAAAAAAAAAGTGACAAAATGTTATTAACAAAGGTGAAGAGTAAGTATATGGTTATTCTTTGTAGTACTCCAGCGACTTTTCTGTTGGTTTGATTTGTTTTAAGAAAAAAAAATAGGGAAAACAATGGTAGTAAACAAAACTGTGTATACGTAAATATGATCCTAACTTTATTTTAAAATCATACAAATGCATATCTATGCAAAGTTAAAAATAATAGATGCAAATCTGCTCATCTCTGAGTAGCAGAACTGTAGTTGGTTTTTATTTTCTTCTTCATAATGCTTTACTTCGTTTTCCCAAAAGTGTCTGTAAACAAGCAGATATTCATTTCATAATAATGCACAATACTAAAATTTTGTTTCGTTTTTAAGGAAAAAGAATGAAGAAGAGATAATTGATCCAAATTTGCCACCCAAATCACGTCAGTTTTTGAATCTGTACAAAATTTCACAATAATTGCTTATTTCTGAGGTTCGTGTAAATATTAACAGCAGCACATAACAGATGCTCAACTGTGCATTCAACAACAAATGCATTGTTTCCTTAAAAAACAAAAATATACTCTATAAAATTCAACTACTTAAACCCAAATGTTAATAAAAGAGAGGAAACTGGACACTCTAAAGTAAAGAAAAAGATTGGTCTATCCAGAAGACAAGTAGTTTTTCCACCCTTAGATAAGGAACACCACTTGTGGGACGTTCCTTTCTCAACCTTGTAGGGTAACTCTCCATTCATTTGGCTAGTTTCATTATTTAATATTTGCCGAGGGATCTCATTGTGACAGAATCTTAACATGGAAAGACCCCTTCTTCTTTATACATCCAAAGCTGACACAGCATTCAATGCCCATAGCAAAAAGCCCTTCAGTTAAGTTTTTCACAACCAACCCGCCCCAAGAGGATGCTTCTGTACCTCTAGATTTACTTTAACAAACTCATCATATCTACAAGCACCATTACTATCTGGTCCACAGCAGGCAGCGATAAAATGAGAGAAAAAGGGAAATGTCAGAGGTGAGCTTCTCCTCCCCAGGTCCCACTCTTCACGGAGGTCTAGACAGCCTTTCGCTCCCTGATCTGTTTTCGGCATCTGGGCAACCAAACAAAAGCAAAAGTTGGAACAGTAGACAAATCTATTCCTCACATCACTTACCCTGTGCTAGCGGGGGTCTTTGGAGTTATTAACGACCCGGAAACCTTCAGCGCAGCCGGGACTATTCTACAAATAATGGCTAACCTGGCCGCAGCCATGTTTTCGCATAATTAAGTAGCCGTGTTTCCGCCAAAAATGTCGTCACTTCCCTTATCTCAAACTGACCAATGAGGGGAACAGGAATAGGCTTTTGCCCTTATTCAACATGGCGGTCCTGCCCCTTCGACCTCGTTGCTAAATTGTCTCTCTCGGCTCCCGTTACTCTATCCCTCTGCTTCCTGTTGCCCGTGGTAGCCATGGCGGCTATGAGTTTATTGCAGCGGGCTTCGGTCACTGCAGTGACAGTTCTGTCTGGCCGCCGCGCTGGCTCTCGGCTCCGACTCGGAGGCTTCCTCACCCGTGTTTTTCCTAGGACTGTCGGTGGGTGCTGGCCTTGGGAGAAAGTGCGTGCAGGGTGTGCTGGGTGAGAGATGGGAGGATTGTTCCCAGGTGACCTTGGTGGGATCTGGAGGGAGCCGGGACAAATTGTGGGCTTGGGTCTTTTAGGAGACAGAGCGCGAGCTGTATGCAGATTTCCCCGAACCAACAGACCAGTTACGTTTTAATTATAAGCATTTACAAAAATGTTATTCACAGCCCCAGTTAGTACTAATTTGCCGCTGAGGCTAGAAAATTATAGAACTGAGTGTGTCACTTTCTAGGGCACCAGATTTTTGGTAGTTCCACCTGCATTGGGTTCTAGTCCCACAGATAGGAAGTCTTTTTGCAGAGAAGGCCACGTATGCTAACTATGTAATACGTGGACCCGGAGGAAGGTCAGGGTGAACTTTCCCATTAGGTACTAATGAATATGTAATAATGAATTTGGCTTGGATTGCATTTGTTTTATATTAGTACAGTCATAAAATAGTAATTTTAGGCACTGAAAAACGGGCCCAAGAAGTCAAAATTGCCGTGGTCCCAGGAAAGTCATAATTAATTCCTAGGAGAGCTAATTTGGATCCCCTTAGGGATTATGGGCCGCTTTACCGAGGCCTGAATAATTAAAGTAGCAAAATATCAAATGCTTGGAATTAAATCTCATTCTCTCAGAGTAAATACAATGTTATTACCCCATTTTACAGATGAGGAAACTGATTCAATTATTATAAAAATAATGCACCACTCTACTAAATTAGCAACAAGGATAGCCACCATGTATTGAACTCCTATTCTTTTTTTGTTTGTTTGTTTTGCTTTGAAATCCTCTCTTTTGTTTGGTATTATTATACATCAAAGTCTTTTGTTATTGTTCTGTGGGTTGGTTTTTTTTTAAGGTCTATAAATTCCCATTTATTTTCTTTTTACATTTTTTAATTGGTGTACTATAGTTGTGTGTAATGATGGGCTTTGTTATTACACATTCACACATGTGCATAATATAACAATATAATTTGGTCAATATCATTTGCAGAACTTCTTGCCACTACTAATCCCCCTTGGATTTTCATGAGATCCCCAACCCCCACCTTTCTTTTCCTTTTTCCATGTATGAGAGAAAAATGTATGATCCTTGACCTCTGAGTTTGGCTTATTTTGCTTAACCTAATGGTCTGTGGTTCCAGGCATTTTCCTGCAAATGACGTAATTTCATTTTTCTTTATTGCTGAATAAAACTTCATTGTGTATATATACTACTTTTTCTTTATACATTCATCCATTGGTAGCTACCTCGACTACCATAGTTTGGCTATGGTGAATTGTGCTGCTATAAACATGGATATGCATGTATTATTATAGTATGCTGATTTTAATTCTTTAGGATAAATACTGAGGAGTGGGTCATATGGGGTTCCCATGCCTCCTCTTTTAAGGAACCTCCATACTGATTTCCATAGTGGTTGTACTAATTTGCAGACCCACCAACAGTGTATAAGTGTTACCTTTTTCTTCACATCCTCTCTAACATTATTATTTGCATTCTTGATGACTATCATTCTTACTGATATGAGATGAAATCTCAGTGTAGTTTTGATTTGCATTTCCATAATTGCTAATGATGTTGAACATTTTTTGATATATTTGTTGGTCACTTGTATTTCTTCTTTTGAGAAGTATCTGTTTAATACATTGGCCTGTTTATTAATTGGGTTATTTGCTCTTTTGGTGTTAAGTGTTTTGAGTTCTTTATATATTTTAGGTATTAATCCTCTGTCAGAAAAGTAGCTAGCAAAAATTTTCTCCCATTCTGTAGGTTCTTTCTTCACTTTCCTGCTTATTTTCTTTGCTGGGAAGAAGCTTTTTAATTTGATGTCAGGCTCCATTCTAAGACTTTAAAATATTGATTCATTTAATCCTCTTGAGCAAAGATACACTGTAAGTTATTTGCCCTGTGCAATACTAAAGGGAAGTGAAACTTTTACCATAAAACAAAATTATTGTTTTCCAACCTCAAAATATCTTGTCTTATTTATCCCCCCTTCCAATTTTAATTTGAATTATTCCACTTTACATGATGAGGCAATATACATAGGGACTCACTGGAAAATGTTGGAAAGGAGCAGTGGGATTCAACAAATTTCCAGCAGGAATTTAAGCGTCTTATAAAACTATATCTGCTATTATTCCTTGATAAAATCCTTTTGTAAACCACTTCTGATTACAGATATCCTCAAATATACAAATATAAATACTTCACTTACTCTCCTACATTGTATTTAATCCAGTCTAGTTGGAGATAAACTGAGGTAAAGTTTCACCCCAGTTCTTCTTGCTATGCTATTCCCCATTCATGGAGTTCTGGAAGGATCATTATTGGGGAATTGTCCTTTCAATGGGAGCAGGGAAAAACTCTTAACTATGTTAAAGGTAACTGTCATACCTGTGTACCTGCTTTTGAAGGTGTTTTGCATCTGTCATTATTGTTTTTAAAATTACTATTTTAACCCTACAAGATAATAAGCTCTGATATGGAAGGGAAGTTTGTCTTGTTTTCTCTGAAACTAGACTGCCAAGGTTCAAATCCTAACTCCAGAATTTAGAAGCTTTGTGACCTTGAGTTGTCACATCTTGGAAACTAAACTTTTTGTATGTGTGTGTGTGTGGTGCTGGGGATTGAACCCAGGCCCTGTGCATGCAAGGCAAGCACTCTCCTAACTGAGCTATATTCCCAGCCCCGGAAACTAAATTTTGAATACTTAATTGCTCATAATTTTTTTTTCTTATCTTTAAAAAGATGATGATTTTAAACTTATCTCGGAATGTAGTTGTGAAGAGTGGGAAAAATGGATAGCACTTAATATAAACTTTACTATCTTAACATTTTTTGGTTTGGGGGGAGTGGTTACCAAGGATTGAATTTAGGGCCATTCAGCAATCCCCAACCGTATTTTGTATTTTATTTAGAGACAAGGTCTCACTGAGTTGCTTAGCCCCTCATCATTGCTTAGGCTGGCTTTGAACTCAGGATCCTCCTGCCTCAGCCTCCTGAGCCACTGGGATTATAGGCGTGTGCCACTGCGCCAGCTATCTTAACTATTTTTAAGTCTACAGATCAGTTATATTTAATGTATTCATAACGTTGTGTAATGATCACCACTATCTATCTCTATAATTCTTTTCATCTTGTAAAACTAACTGTGTCAACAAAGGAGTAACTCCCCATCTGTCCTGATCAGCTCCTGATAACCACCATTCTACGATTTGTCCCTATGACTATTTTAAATTCATCATAAGTGGGAACGTACATTTTGACTTTTTATGTCTGGCTTATTTCCCTTAGCATAATGTCCACAAAGTTCATTCATAATATAACATACGACAGGAAAGAAAGAATTTCTTTTCTTTTTAAAGCTGAATAATATGTATATGTAATTATCTCTCATCCCTTGTATCTGCAATAAATTGGTTCCACGATCTCCACAAATGCCCCAAATTCCCAGTTACTCAGGTCTCTTGTATAAAATAACTTCATATATGTATATAACCTAGCTACATCCTTCTGTATACTATAAATCATCTCTGGATTGCTTATATAATGTAATACTATGTAAATAATGGTTATGCTGTATTGCTTAGGGAAAATGATAAAGAAAAAAGCATGCGTGTTCAGCACAGAAGCAGTTTTTTTCCCTAAATACTTTCCACCCATGATTGGCTGAATCCAGGGATGTGGAATCCACAGATTCAGAGGGTCTACTCTATCACATTTTGCTTGCCCAGTCATCTGTCAGAGGACACTTAAGTTGATTCTATGTTTTATGTACTGTGAACAATGCTACTATGAACATGAATTCATAACTCTTCAAGACCTTGCTTTCAATTCTTTTGGGTGCATATGCAGAAGTGGAACAGCTAGATTGTATGGTAATTCAGGTTTTAATTTTTTGAGGAACTGCCATTACTGTTTTCCACAGTGGCTATACCATTTTTCATTCTCATCAGCAGTGTAGGAGAGTTTCAGTTTCTCTACATTCTCACCAACTCTGTTATTTTCTAAAGTTTTGATAGTAGCTATCCTGATGGGATATAACTGTGTATAACTATCTCATTTTAGTTTTGATTTATATTTCTCTAATGATTAGTGTTGTTGAGCATATTTTCATATGCTTCTTGTCCATTTGTTTTATCTTTTTTGGAGAAATGTCTATTCAAATCCTTTATATTTTCATGGGGTTGCGTGTTTTGTTGTTACTGAGTTTGAGGAGTTATCTATATATTCTGGTTATCAATTTCTTAGCAGATAGATAACTTGAAAATATTTTCTTCCATTTTATGGGTTGCCTTTTTATTTTGTCAATAGTGTATTTTGGTGCAAAAAAAAATTAAAAAATTTTCCTTAAGCCCAGTTGGTTTATTTATTTATTTATGTTGTTGTTGTCCATGCCTTTTCTGGCATTAGCTTTCTATAGGGCTCTGTGAACACACCTTTTTTAAAACACCTATTGATGTCATTTCATCCTCTTTCACCTTGGTGAAAACCTTTCTCAGAAAATAAGCAAATAAATATATGTTCTTCATTTAATTAAATTATTTATTAAACATCAATTATAAAGGAATTCCAAAGATGAGCTTTAGGCCTTCCTTTTGCTATAAGGAACTTTAACTTAAAGATCGGCATGAACAAATCATGGTTTGAAAAAAATGTGAAGAGTATTAAAGTGGATAATGCTTGGTTTGGATAAGGCCTATATGTTAATGGCTTGGTCCCCAGCTGTAGCACTTTGGGGAAGTGATGAATGGAGACTTTAAGAGGTGGCATCTAGTGAGAAGTCTTTAGGTCTTCAGTGGTATGCCCTTGAAGGAGCTATTGGGACTTCAATACTTTTCCTCTCTGGTTCCTTGATCGCTAGGAAGTATGCTGCTTGCTCCACCATGTGCTGCCACCATAATGTTCTGCCTTGCCATAGGCCCAAAAGGAACAGGGCCAACTCAGCATGTTCTGTAATCCCTGGACTCTATGAGCCAAATAAGCCTTTTCTCTCTCTCTTCTTTTCTTTTTTTAAATTTTTCTTTTTTAGTAGTAAATGGACAGCATGCCTTAATTTTATTTGTTTATTTTTATGTGGTGCCAAGGATCGAACCCAGTGCCTCATGAGTGCTAGGCAAGTGCTCTGCCAATAAGCTACAGCCCTAGCCCCCTTTTCTCTTTTTAAGTTGATTTATCTCAGATATTTTTTTACAGTAATTGAAAGCTGACTAACAGCTACATAAACAAAGTTCGTGAGTTAATTCATACAAGCAATATGTACTATTTTAACTAAATTGTGGGACTCATTTTAACAGGTGAGACTGGTAGAAGTACAGTGGGTGAGTTTTCTGATGTGCTTGGATATGGGGCTCTTGGGATGAATGGATGTTGGGAAAGAAGGTTAAAATAAGGGAGGTTGGGATCAAACTAGGGGAAGGTAGGGAAAGGTCTAAATACAAAACCAAGTATCTTCAGTTTATTTTGTAGACAACAAAGAGTACTTTAGCAGAAGCTACATCAGTAAGCATCTTTAGAAAGATGCTTTGTAGGAGATGGCTCATAGGAGATGTCGGTTACTTAGGTCATTAGGGTAAAGAAGGCTTTGAAGGTACTGAAGAGTTTGAATCTTAGAATCAAGATGTCTTGGTGAATGGTGAATGAGCAGTAGATGCAAGGAAGATGACTTGAGATTTTTAGCCTGGGTATTTGATAGTGCCCTTACCTGAGAATGAGGGGGAAAAAAGTGATCAAATTTTGAGTGTTGTGGTTTTTTTTTTTTTTTAATTTGTTGAGTGTTGTCTTTGAAACACACACAAAAAGATCCTTCATTATAGTATTCAGTGGTCTGAAAATCAGAATTGTCAAAGACTTTTCTGAGGCTATGTGCATATTTAAAATTGTTTTTTGAAGGGTTAGGCTTATATAATTAATGAATACCTAATTGAGAAATTTCAGGTTTTGGAGAGTGGTGGAAGATGCTTGTGGTAGGTGGAACTGAGTTCCAGAAATCCTGGGAGTCACTTGGTTATAAGCCATATTCATCCTAATAATTTTAGAATGTTAGCAAATGGCTCTACTGCATCAGTGACTCATAGTATGATCATGAAGGCTCATAACATTTGAAAAGAGTTTAGTTCTATGAAATAGACTGTAGAATAATTGATTATAATAACAGTTATCTAGCACAATTTAATGGCATGAATAATTATATAACAATTAGGTAGTTATTTGTAAAGAAAGAGTAAGCAGTTCACATTGTTAACTGCATTAGTATTACTATAATGCAACCATACCAAGCTTTCTTCCATTGTTTAGTGTTACATTTTTCCATATCATTTATAGTAATGTTCCCTAAGACCATATATAGTTTAATCCTTCCCTTTGATTAAAAGGGAAAGTTAGGAGTGCACTATCTCTTCTGAGTAAATGTAGAATATTTTCAGGAACTTAAGAAAAATTCTCTACCAGCATTTAATCTACTTAAGAAAAGTAAATTCAGTCATAATCATAGAGTGCCCACCATGCTACAGACACTAAAGGTACCGATACTAGGGATACAGGCCTGAATAAGATAGGCAGTGCCTGACCTAATGGACTTAAGAAAAAAAAAAAGATAACTAGGGTTAGTGCTTCTTGCTCTAAAGGAAATTACCAAATGATATTAAAGGTATTAAGTGGGAGACTAACTTTGGATGAGAAGTCTTAGAGAAGACCTCTCTGAGGAAGTGACACTTGATGTTAGCCCTGAAGGATGATATGTGGAGGCAGTATAGGGAAAAGCATTCCAGGTAGAGGGGAAAGAAAGTGCAAAAACCTGAAGGTAGGAGAGATTTCCTGAAATTGGAAGGGAAGTATTGAGAGATGAGTTAGAAGAGCATACCTGTTTATTCTTAGATCATATATTTCAGATTCTCTAGACTAAACAGAATTCCTCTAGGCTAACCCCCTCTATTGTGCTAGTTCTTGTTATATCCCATTATTGATATTAACATAACTTTGTAATGGGGAATGGGTGAAGACTGTCTACAATTCTGCAAGTTCTACAGTTTTAGAACCTTCTCATATCAAGCTGAGAATTACTCTTTCACACATTGAGCCTAGTTCTTCCCTTCATGTCAACACAGAATTGAATACATTCTCTTACATGGGACAGCTCTTGAGCTCCATAAAAACATTTATCTGGTCTTTATCCAGACTTCTTTTATTGTATGCCAATTAACTTCAGTTCATTCAGTTTCATGAGGTCAGTTTCCAAGTTGTTTGCCATCTGGTTGCTTTAAGTTAGGGGAAACTCGAGATTTTCCCTATAAAATAATATGCTGTGGAGTGGATAAACTTCTGTAGTTGGGAGATAAAGAGCAGCAAGGATCATCATGTTTTGACCCTGTCCTTCTAGTACATCAGGTTAACATTGAATTGGCTTTTGGTTTTTTTGTGAGCAATTATATTTTGGGGGGCATCGACATAGGACTTTACATTTACTTTATTCTTACCTTGTTGTACTTGAGCCTTTTGGATCCAGCCTTTTGTAAATGTATATGAAGACTTTTGGGAGACTAATTCATCATTAGTGTAATAGCCATTTTGTAACAGTAGCTTTGTTTCCAAGACTCAAAAAGCCAGGAATGTCTATTTCACCCATTCCATTCATAAAAATCTTCATGCTGCAGGGCATTTGAGAGATCCCTTTGTTAGGTTACTTCATTAATTAATCATCATCTTTTATGTCTAATTCGTCAATCGGTCAATCATTTACCTATTACAAATTGATCTAACTTGCTCCTTTCCAACTTATAATATACCTTCCTCTCACCCCTGTCCCACCATCCTGTCTGAATAGGGCTTGTTCTTTTTTACTGCTATTTTTCCTTTGTTGCACTCATAGATTTATAATTGTTTAGTGTCTTTTATCCCAGCAGGATCCATATCCTTCTGCCTAGGTTAGGACCTGCACATTAAATATTTAGTGAATTAATGAGTGGTTTGTGGTATCATCCAACCTATTGTCATAATAAAATTCCCTAATGGAGTTATAGCCTATGTATGTATAATATGTCAATATGTACTCTACTGTCATGTATATCTAAAAAGAACAAATAAAAAAATTTTAAAAAATTAAAAATTCCCTAATGGTATCTCTTCAAATGATTTACTGGAATCCATGTTAATGTTGCCAAGTTATCTTAATCTTGTTATTTTATTATATTTAGTAAATTCTTGCTAACTTCTCATTGTTTTGTGAGTTAATTAATATCCTAAGTTCATTGCAAGATGCTGCAAGTAATACCAAATTAAGATGGATTCCGTCTTCAAAGCATTTATAGTCAAAAGTGGTAGTAGTAAAAGCAAATACAATTAGCCCTCTATAAGCATGGTTCTGCATCTCAGATCTAACCAATCATGGGTTGAAAATATTCAGGAAAAAAAAAGCATTTGTAACTAAATATGTATATAGGTTTTTTCTTTGTCATTATTCCCTTATTAATACAGCATAATGACTATTTGCATAACACTCACTGTATTCGGTTTCTAAATAATCTAGAGTAAAATATGTGAAATAATATGCACAAGTTATATGCAAATATTATGCCATTTCATGTAATAGACTTGAGGAACTGCAGATTTTGGCATCCACACAGGTCCTGGAAACCAGGACAACAGGACAACATGACTAAGATGGACAGCAATTCAGAAGTAGCAGAGATCTTATCTGATTGGGGGCATTGCTGACTTCTTGGAAAACACCTGGGCATAAATGATAGATTTTAGGAGAAAAGAGGGCATTCCGGACAGTAAATGGTAAACCAGAAATACAGATCTTTTCCACATCAATTATGACTGAAATTCCTTTAGTGGGAAATTAAAATTTTTTATTCTACAATGACTCTCATTCAGAATTTAAGAGCAATTACACAGCAGAACCATAGTAACACCGTTTCTTAGTAACCACTAGATCTTTTCCTGGGAAAGGCTTGGAATACCCGGAGTGATCCTTGCAGACCTCCAAAACAGGAAGTGTAGAAAGAGGACCTAGGTGTGAAATTTTGTCTCAGTTTATCTCCAACAAGGCTTTCTTAAGTTCCATCTAGGGTGGGATAGGGGTTGAAGAGGAGGGTATTCTTAATCGCAATGGCTTACAAATGGATTATGTCAAGGTAGAGATATGGTTTTGTAACAAGTTTGAATTCCCGCTGAAAATTCATTGAATAAATACTGATATTCCTTTGCATCTATTTTGCAGCAACTTCCTAAATGTATATTACCTTATTATGTGAAATAGCACAATTTCAAGATTTTTTTTGCAATATTAGCAAATATTTATTGCAGAGGAAACAAAGATAAGCAGCTCATCCAGAGAATCTGACTTTCCTGCCTGCTATTGAAACAATTTGAAATGATGTTTCAGTGTTTCTTTAACATTGAATTAAAATGAGGGGTGCTGTGCAGTGGTAGATTATTTGTCTAGTATGCATGAGGTCCTGCATTATGTCCCCACCACCACACACACACACCAAAAAAAAAAAAAAGGAGAGAGCTGTAGTTTAGGACTATATGTATTCTATCTGCCCTAGCTTTAGTACTAAAATTAAAAAGCATTTTTAAATCTTAATTCATTAAACATTTATGTATGTATATTTTCTTATAATTCGGTTTTTATATCACAAAATAACAGTATTCCTAAATGAACCTTGTATAAAACAGGATAACTTAATATTTCCAGCTCCTGTGCGACACAGTGCAGACCATGGGAAAAGACTGTTCATCATCAAACCTTCTTCATATTATGACAAGCGTTTTTTGAAATTATTGGTGAGTTGAAAGTTTTTGTTGAACTAAAATCTTCCCATACAAGGAGGAAAAAAATCTGCTTCTTTAGAAAACATCTTCATTTTTTTTAAAAGATCTGATTCTGCAAACTCAGGGGGAACCAGGGGTTGAACCCAGGAATACTTAGCCACTGAGCCATATATCCTCAGCCCTTTTTTATATTTTACTTAGAGATAGGTTCTCTTTGAGTTGCTTAGGGCCTCGCCAAGTTGTTGAGTTTGGCTTTGAACTTGTGATTCTCCTGCCTCAGCCTCCTGAACCACTGGGATTACAGGCATGTGCTGCTGTGCCCAGCCAAATTCATGTTTCTTTCCTCAGAAGGTATGAGATTGTGCAGTAAAGTCTTATTTGTTACTAAATCTCTTCTTAAATTAGAATCAAACTGAATTGGAGGTAAAGCTTAAGCCAATCCTTTCTTCTCAAGATTATGAGGCTTTATAATCTAATTTGTATTCTCTACTTCAACAGTAAAAAAGAATCTGCAAGACTGGGAGTGTGGGTCAGTGGTAGAGTGCTAGAGTGCCTGCTTAGCCTGTAGCAGGCCCTGGATTTGAACCCAGCGTCCCACCAGAAAGAAGAGGGCAATGGGTGGGGAGGGACAAATGTGAAAATTGACAAAACTTCAAAAATTGATTGATGAGAGGATTTTTTTGTATTGCTAAAATATCCTTTAAATTACCAAAGAATTCATTAGAGGACTTCTTTTAATAAAGGAGATCTATTATTTGAGGATATGATTTTTAAAATTTACATGTTGTTTGAGAACATTGATTTCAGAGTGATGTTGACCTTTAATCTTAATTTAGCAATAATATAATAATCACTTATTTAGGGTGCTGATTGTTTATTTGAATCTCAAGGCTTTAAAAGAAACTAGAGGCATAGAAAAATGAGAGATTATCTGGACTGTGTGCCATCGTTTCTAAAGCTTTGGCTCATCACTTGAGTTCTGGCTGCCTCAAGACTCTCTGTTACCCTCCCATTGTGTCCTTTTTCATCCCCTTGGTTAAGCTCCTGCTTTTCCTTTTTTTTTTTTTTGTTTGTTTTGTTTTTTGGTACCAGGGATTTGAACCCAAGTTCACTTAACCACTGAGCCACATCCCCAGCCCATTTTTTTTTAATTTAATTTTATTTTTTTTAATATTTTTTTTTAGTTGTAGTTGGACACAATATCTTTATTTATTTATTTTTATGTGGTGGTGGGGATCGAACCCAGGGCCTCGTCCATGCTAGTGAGCGCTCTAATGCTGAGCCACAACCCCAGCCCCTTAATTTTAAATTTTTATTTTAACATCTGGTCTTGCTAAGTTGCTGAGACTGGCCTTGAATTTGCCATCCTCCTGCCTTAGTTTCCCAAGTTGCTGGGATTACACGTATGTACCAACATACCTGGCAAAATAGTTCATGATTTTTTTTAGTGGTACTGGGGCTCAAACCCAGGACCTCAAGCATGCTATGCCAGAGCTTCACCAATGAGCTATATCCCAACTCTGAGCGCCCCCTTTTTTTGTCATGACCATCTCAAACCCTTCCTGTTCAGTGGTTGAAATCACACTAATGTGTTTTACTCTTTACTCTTAATAGTGAATTTTCTAACTTTCATGATGTTGCTTTAATCAAAAAGTGAAAAGTCACTGAAATATATATTGTATTATACTTGTACAATTATCCTTTACTTTTTTCTTTCATTTTTGGTATTAAATATAGGTGTCTTAAGGCAAGAACCCAAGAATATCACAGAAATTAAAAATTTGATACTGTATCTTCAGTTTGACAAATTTATTTCATAAGAAATAAAGGGAATTGTGAGGATAATTGAAGGATGGGAAGAATTGGAAATGGTTGTAAGAAAAATCTTTTTTTTTTTTTTAATTTTAACAGAGATTCTACATTTTGTTGACTGGGCTTCCAGTAGCAATTGGCATAACTCTGGTGAATGTATTTATTGGTAAGTTCCCCCTCCAGCCAACACCATGAAATTGGTAAACTTTACGAGTATTATAGTGAAAAACTCAGTAAGATAAGTATAAACATGTCTTTTTTTTTAAATAACAAAATCTCAATCTACAATAATGTACCATATTATTTTTTAGCACATTTCTTTTTCCCTCCAGAAACTTTGAAGGTTATAAATTTTATGGCCATGTAGGAGGCTTCTGAAAACCTCATTTTCTTCTCCTCCTCCTTTCCCAAAACTAGCTTTGATAAGTCTGAATAAGAAAAGAAAAAGAGGTGGAAGAGAGAGAGAATTTTTCAAATCCATCCTGAAATATATAAACCTATAAATCCTCTAAAATAGACATGAAAGTGTGAATGACAGTAGACATCAGATGTTCATGGTAAATCTGTTCAGAGTGCTTCTAAAACCTTGAATCCTAAAATGTTTTGTCTCATAGAGAGGACCAAAAAAAAATGTCTTTTATAGTATCTGGTTATGTATTATAAAAACAAAATTGGAACCTCTCATATAATGCTTATAGATAATGCCTTACACTCAGAATACATCTAAAAATCCATAATGAATGGATTTTCAATTTTAAAGTGAATTTAGAATATTAGATCTTTAGTATAAATGAAAGGAAAGATAAAAAGATCCTTTAAACCTACAAGAAGTTGGTTTCTTTATTGGTGAAGAGTTAATATTTTAAATTCCTAATGCTGAAGTTGAACCACCATCATTTTCTCTTATTAGGTGAAGCTGAATTAGCAGAAATTCCAGAAGGCTATATCCCAGAACATTGGGAATATTATAAGGTTTGTATAGGTCATTAAAAATTAGGTTAAGGGGCTGGGGCTGTAGTTCAGTGGCAGAATGCTTGCTTAGCACATGTGAGGCACCGGGTTTGATCCTTAGTACCACATAAAACAAATAAAATAAAGGCAATCTGTTCATCAATAACTACAAAAAAATTTTTTCAAAAATTACAGTAAGGTACTTGTCAACATGCTGGTTAATCCCTAAATATGGAAATTATGATAAAGTTTCATATTCCATTTTTTGTTTATTCATTTTTTTATTAAAGCATCATGATTGTACATAGAAATTGGGTTCATTTTGATAAAATTATACATGCAAGAAATTTGATTTTTGAGCCCCATCCCTTTCCTTTTTTCTCTCCTCCTCCGTCCCCCTATGCCTCCTCTACTCTATTAAACTTCCTTTCTTGTACATTAAAGTGAAATTCCGTTTGGTATCTTTATACTTATCATATTCAATTTCAAGCAACTGTTCTTGGTATATTCCTTTATTGTTTCTTTTATTAATTTAAGTTTTATAGCTTTTCAAAGAATTGTCTGCAGTGTATTCTCAATCTAGCAAAATAACAGAATTTGTTCTAAGTTCAATGCCATAAGAAAGCTATTACCAGTGCTAATGATGGCTCTTTTGTTGAGCACCTACTGTGTAGCAGGCACTATACTGCTTTGCAAATGTTTTCTCATTCCATGTAAAAGGCACTGTTATTATTTTCATGTTAAAGATGAGAAAATTTGGGTTTAAAAGGCTTAACACATTTTGTCCCGTTGTCCCAGATGTGAAACACCTATAAAAACTTAAATATGGCACATATAATATATAATTATATAATGTATGATGATAATATAATGTTATTAATAATATGAACTTCAGATTATGGTTTCCAGCCTATTTTAATGCATCTGTGTCAATATTGTTGAAATATTCACAAAATTGAAAATTTGGGACTCATAGATTAAGAACCTGAGAGAGGGGGCCAGTACTTACTGAACCCATTAAGCTTGACTCCAGATATAATAACTGTTTATTATATTTGGATATAATAAACAGTTATTATATCCAAAAGACAGAATTAACCTATTGTCTTTACAAGTATTATAATGAGCTGACCTTGAATAGAGTATGCCTCATTTTATTGTCTGAATGAATTATATTTTAGAAAAGCAGTGTTTCATTTTAAATCTTAAGGGAAACTATGAAATTAGTTTTATCTTTGGCAGCTGGTGGAAGGGGCTTCATGTTGAGATCAACAAAATCTGGGTTTTCCTCCTGAATCTACCACTTCACATACCTATGCATAGTGTAATATGAGAGAGCACAGGCTTTGGAGTCAAGCAGACCTGGTTAGAATCTGGACACTCCCACTTAGCTGCACAATTTGTGCAATTTTCTCATCTCTAAAAATAGTATCTACCTAATGGATTGAAATTATTTAAAATATATATAAAATGGTTGATATATAGTAGGTATTACGGGTGTATCTGAGAAGGCCATTTTAAAGAATAATCAACTAGAAAAGCCAAGTAATGTTCAGAAACTGTCTAATTTCAAACAAATTTTCTCTGGCAGCATCCTATATCAAGATGGATTGCTCGTACTTTCTTTGAATGCCCTGAAAAGAATTATGAAAGAACAATGGCTGTTCTTCAGATTGAATCTGAAAAGGCTGAATTACGGTAGGAAAAAAGGGGTGGGGAAGAACATTCTTTTCTTGGGTTGCAAACCACAAGAGAAAATATGAGAGAATTTTGTTGTTTAGAGTGAAGACTGTGAGTTGATGATGGGTTGATAAAGAGATGATATCTGTCAGAATAAAAGGAATTCTTTTAAAAATACTCATGTATATACAAGGCAACTCTCTCCCCATCCTACCCAATTTCCTTCCATCCTACACCTAGTCTAATCCTTAGAAATAACCCCTATTTAGCAACTATATATGTTCCTAGAGAAAATTTTATATGTAAAAAAATAAATTTTATAATATCATTTAAAATTATAGTAATACAGATAGAATCCTCCTATAAACAGTGTTCTGTGCCTTGTCTCATTTCAATGAATATACCTTGGTGATCTTTCTGTGATGGCATATGCCCATTCTTTTTAACTCTGCATTATATATTTTATTGGGTAGATGTGCTTTACTTTTTATTACCAGTCCCCTATTGTTGGTACTTAGATTCTTTCCAAGTTTTTATTCTTATATGTGTTATTATATATATGTTTGCTTTTATATGTTGATAGATATTGCCAAACTCTTCTTCAGAAAGTTGCACCAGTTATTTTTTCCATCACCTATGATAGTTTCTGAGTTATCAGAAATGGAATTTATCAATCTTAAGCATTTTGTTGTTATAATAGTTGAAAGTAATATCTTATTATTTTGACTTTCTATTTCTTTGTAAGGTTGGGGTTTTTTTTCCATAGATCTAATAGTTGTGTGCATCTCTATAAATTGCCCGTTTTTCTACTGATATTAACTGATTTATACATCAGTTAAATTAGTCCTTCTTTATTTTGTTGCAGATATATTTTCTCAGTTTGTCATCTGTCTTTTGGCAGTGAAAAATTATTTGTAACATAGCAGTATATGTTTCAGATAACAAATATGTATGGTTTTTAATACTTACTATATAACAATGTTATAGTTGCTTTCTGTGTATTTATTCATTCAATTATTGTCATGTTTGTCCTTTAGTTTTTAAGGTCTTGGTCATGTATGGATTAAATAAATAAATATATAATATGAGAATTACTTCTTAAAATGTTCTTTTGGGGACTGGAGAACAGCTCAGTGAAGCTTTGAATTTGTTCACCAGCACCACAGTTACACACACACACACACACACGTTCTTTTGTGTTAAGAGTGAGATAAAATTGATAAGCAATCAAATCACCAGTTAACTTCAGTGGGTTTTTGGAAAAGCATAAACCTTTGGGGCTGGGGTTGTGGCTCAGTGGTAGAGCACTCGCCTATCACATGTGAGGCCCTGGGTTCGATCCTCAGCACCACATATAAATAAATAAAATAAAAGTATTGTGTCCAACTTCAACTAAAAAATAAATATAAAAAATTGTTTAAAAAAAAAAAAAAAGCATATACCTTTGTATCTACTACCACAATCCAGATCCTTTGATCATCCTAAAATGTTTTTGTGTGCTTCTTCATCCATGCTAGTGACTCTCCATCCTTTATTTTGGCCTCAGGCTACCATTGGTCTTTCTATTTATTAAAATTTTATAGTTTATAAAAATTTCTATGATGTTGAAAAATATTTAAGCAGTGAAAAAATGTGATTGGCTGTTTCCTGAATATGTAGTTACCATACGGAACTATCTTTCAGTACTTAAGAGCATAGAACAGAAATATGGTTTATATTTAGTAATGTTAGTAAGACGTTTTTGAACTTCAGACACATACCTTAGAGTTCCAGTTAAATGATCAGACCCTAGAATTCCTCAGACATGTAGAGATCCTAAACAGTTACAGAACAAAACAAAGAAAAAACAAACAAACCAAAATCCTGACTTCTATCCCTAAAGGAAAGATGCTGATATGATGATGGAATGTGTGTGTGTGTTGGAGGTGGGGGGGTGTTTTTGTTTTTGCTTGTTTTGGTATTGGGGATTGAACTCAGGGGTGCTTAACCACTAAGTCACATCACCAGCCCATTTATGTTTTATTTTGAAACGGGGGCTTACCAAGTTATTTAGGCCTCACTAAATTGCTGAGGCTGGCTTTGAACTTGTGATCCTCCTGCCTCAGCTTCTTAAGCCAGTGGGATTATAGGCATGTACCACCACACCCAGCAGAATGTGGGGTTTTAAAAAGTATGCATTTAGATATTTAAAAAACTGAAACAGGAAAAGAAAAAATAGAAAGAGATGTCTCCCATAGTTGACTCCCCCAGAGATAACTGTTATTTTTAGTTCTTCATAGGTTTTTGTGTACCAGGAATTGAACACAGGGGCACTTAATCACATCCCCAGACCTTTTATTTTGATACAGGGTCTCACTAAGTTTCTTAGGGTCTTGCTAAATTGCTAAGGCTGGCCTCGAACTTGGAATCCTCATGTCTCAGCCTTTCAACTCACTGGGATTATAGGCATGTGCCTCTGTGTCTTGCTGTTTACAGTTTTTAATGCTATATGCATGTGTATTTATACAGATTCACAAATGGTTATTTACCACTTTTTAATGAAATGGGAAAGTGCTACATATACTCATTTTGTATCTTGCTTTTGTTTTGTTTTGTTTTTTTGTTTTTCCTTTTCTTTTTGGTGGTGCTGGGGATCCAATCCAGGGCTTTGTGCATGCAAGGCAAGCACTGTATCAACTGAGCTATATTCCCAGCTCCTATATGTTGCATTTTTAACCTAACAATATATTTATCATCTGTTCCCACATTACTATGAATAGATTCTCCTTATTCTTTTTAGTATTACGTGGTAATCCATTATGTAGATAAGCCATAACTTGTTTTACTACTTAGTCCCCTGTTGGTGACTATTTTAATTACTTACATTTTGGATAATTGCATTCTAAAGGATGATATTTAACCCTTTAAAAAAGATGATGGTATTTAATCCTTAAAAAAAGATGAATAGACATCTTATAAGTACACAGTTGCAAAGGTACGTTTTCTCTTTACATAAGATCAGTGAGCTTGTTATTGTTGATAAAGTGTGACATTTAACTGTGGTTTATTTCCAGTCATGTGAAAAGTGATCTGTGTATGTTCTATTAAAATGAAATTTAAAAGGTTTAATGGAGAAGGGACTGATTCAGGTAGTAGTTTATGCAGATTTTGAATATGGAAGAGGAGTAGAGCATCTTTGCAGAATAGAAATTATTCAATTTGTGAGGAAGGTTGAGGACAGAGTAGATCTTAGAGTTGAAGAATGCGTCTTTTAAGAGAGATCTCTCTCTGTCTGTCTCCCTCTCTCTCTTATCTTCCTGGGATGGGGTCTCACAGTTGCTTAGGTTGGCCTCAAAACTCCTGGGCTTAAGTGATCCTTCTGCTTTAGACCTCCCCACCCCAGGAACTGGAACTACATGCTCATGCCACTGTGTCCAACTAACCTACTTTCTTTCTTTTTTCTTTACAAATATTGACTGAGGATCTACCATTAACTGGGCACAGTATAATGCTGGTGAATATGATTTTCTGCCCTCAAATTTTCTGTGCAATAGTGATGAACAGCCAATACAGACAGAATATGAGCTCCTCTAGAAAAGCAGATAATTTTCCTAATACTCAAAATAGCATAGGATCACAACAGTAGGTGTTGCATTAATGACTCCTTGCATCTAAAAGATGGAAAGACAGGAAAGCATTGTCACAATTCAGGTGAAAATTATCTGTCCAGACAAAGAGCAGGGATAGTAAAGGAGAGAATTAATCATCAATTCAAATAATATTTAAATGCAAAAACTATTCAATGACTAAGTACATAAGCAAGATAAAAGTAAAGAATAAGTCCTAAATTTTGCTTTGGGATACTTACTATAAGTGTGCCTTAGTCATGATCTGTGTACATAAACTTTCTAGTGGTTCTTTATGGAACTGATACATTAAATTGGTAATTGGAACCAGGCACAGTGGCACATACCTGTAATCCAGGTGATTCTGAAGGATTGCAAGTTCAAGGCCATCCTCAGCAACTTAGCAAGCCCTTCAACGTAGCAAGACTCTGTCTCAAAATAAAAATTGAAAAGGGTTAGGGATATGACTCAGTTGTAAATCGCCCCTGGGTTCAATCCCCAGTATAAAAAAAAAAAAAAAATTCTCCTTGTAATTGGAAAGCTGGAATCACAGTATTGTTTTTCTATTTGTTACAGGTTAAAGGAGCTGGAAGTTCGAAGACTAATGCGTGAGAGAGGCGATGGGCCCTGGTATCAATATCCAACTCCTGACAAGGCACTTATTGATCATTCACCAAAAGCAACTCCTGACAACTAATTGTTTATTTCTTTAAATATAAAGTATATTCTCCCAAGTGGAAAACAAATTAGTAAATACAGTCTGTATTTTTGCTCTGTAATGAATAAAAGAGCTTCTTTTCATTGCTCTTTTTCTCAGTGTTGATTCAAATGAAGGCTTTTGATTTTGGGTTTAAAAAACTTGGAGAACTAAGAATTTTTGAATTTCTGAAGTTGTGTTAACTTTGAAAGATATGTTTTATTTATCTGGCAAAGGGAAGTCACAGAAGTCTCATTTAAGGATCAGAAACATAGTCATTTACTGTATACATGTCTGTGTTGTGGGCATCTGGATTGTTCAGGGCCTCTTAGGCTCTTAAGTTACATGAAAATGTTGAGCCAACTATATAGAACTTAGCCTCTTAATAAACAAATTTTTGGTGAACAAATCTTAAAGTTTACAAGGTTTTCATGTTTTCTTTTTTTAGGCATGTATCATTCTTTTTAAAATTACATGTGCATATTTTTTAGAGGTAATCTCTTAAGATTCCTTAGAGTCCATTTTTGTAAACATTTGAGAAGATTGTATAAAGTAAAATGATTATTGCAAAGATTATGAAATGTAAAAGCTGAAAATAATGGCCTCATTTTTTTTCCTCCCCCATCCCTCTTTGGCCTAATTTGTTAAGCATTTGTTGTCTGCTAAACACTGTGGCAAATAACTGCCTTTGTTCACTTTATTTTCAAAATCACCTTATAAGGTACTATTACTCTTGAGATTTACAGATGAGAAACCTGAGACTTTTAAACACTCAGTTTTTTAAAATTCTTTTTTTGTAGTTGGACACAATAACTTTATTATGTTTATTTATTTTTATATGGTGCTGAGGATCAAACCAAGTGCCTCACATGCTAGGCAAGCACTCTACCGCTGAGCCACAACCCCAGCCCTAAATACTCAGTATTTATAAAGGTAAATATTTGGCTATTTAGCTTCAAGATTTCATTATTTTAATTTTAAACCTGTAACAGCCTATCAGTATATCATTTACTTTTAGAACTATGTTTTTACATTCTATAGGATAAGTAAAAATGAACTCAGCTTTTGTAAGATTGAAGCCAGACCACTCATACAGCATACCTTTAAGTGTCCACTATATGCAAATGACAATCCAGCCAAGATCCTTTGGAATGGTTGCCTGCCTGCCTCCTTCCCTGTCTGCCCCGCTCCATCCCTCCCTTCCCTTTCCTGTGCTGGGGACTGAACCCAGGGTATTTTACATGCTAAACACAGTTCTGGACCACAGAACTACACCCCTGGCCTTGGTTGCATTTTCTTATGTCCCCAGAAGAGGGCTGCCGTGCCCAGCTACTTCAGATTTTGTTCTGAGGATTGCCTATGCAGTCTACCACCTCATAACTCTGTCCAAGGATTTGAGAAAAAGCATACTATCCTAGGGTTCCTGCTTATGTGAACTATTTTTGTAGAAGGATAGTGGAAGCAGATAGGCTTTGTATGTAGTAATTGTAAATGATATTAGACTATTGAGCAGTGATAGCATTTGTTCTTTTAGACTTTTCAGGATTTTTGACAATAGTAGGTTTTGTCTTTTTGGTACAGGGGATGGAACTCAGGGGCACTCAACCACTAAGCCACATCCCCAGCTATTGTTTGTATTTTATTTAGAGACAGGATCTCACTGAGTTGCTTATGCCTGTCTTTTGCTGAGGCTGTCTTTGAACTCACAATCCTCCTGCCTCAGCCTCCCGAGCCACTGAACCCTGCTGACAATAGTAGATTCAACTTTATTTTTTTCCTTTCTGCTATTGTAAATATAAGAAAAACTTAATATAGAAAAATCGCTGCCATATATTAATTGAATATGTAGCAAACATGAACTAATCACTTTGTATATTTTATCCCATTTATTCTTGGAATAATGCTTCAGTGTAGATATCATTTTCACTTAAATAAGAAAATGGAGGCTTCTAAAGGTTAAATTAAGTAGCCTAAAGTTATACATTTAATAAAATTTATATCTGATTTTTAAAAGAAATTAATAAATAAAAGCCAAGCTGGGGATGTAGCTTAGTGGTAGAGAATGTGCTAGATTCTGGGTTCAGTCCCCTATATCAGGAAAAATTTTAAAAGTACACCAGTCTTACTTTTCCCTTGGATGTGTATCATTACTTTAGTAATCCTCTTTTTAAAAATAATATTTATTCTGCTTCTGATTTCATAGCCAAATATTGGCATGCCTTCTTAGTGGATTCATTAGAATACATTCCTATAAGAGAACTATTTGGTCAGAGAGTTTGTTTTTTCAGCTTTCGATGTTTCAGAGTGGCCCTCCTGGAAGGTTGTACCAATTCATACTCCCACAGGCAGCACAAGAGGGCATCAATTTTCTCAAGCCCTAAGGTCTTAAGGCCTTCAAGTCTTGTCAGCCTGATAGTAGGATTTTGTGATGGACAGGTTCTTTCAACACCCACCAAGATCTTATAAACAGTGTAATCGCAATACAGTATTTCACTCAGCACAGACTGCATACCTTTCCTCTGCATTCCAGCTCTCAGCAGTTTGTTTATCACATTACTTGATGTACTCATTGAATTGCAATGAAAGATGATTAGTGCCAACAAAACAGATTTTTCCTGAAAGCAGCCTTCAGTTTGATTTCTTTAACATGGGAATCATGGTTATTTGTATTGTATTTAAGAATTTAAGTGTCTGAACTCTTGCAAATCTCTTTTTGTGTTGGTTGTTCTGCTGCTCTCACTTATGGTGCCTTGTCTCTTGTATTCTTACTTTGTTTGATTATGAGCTCTCGGTTTTCCTTGCATTTGCTTCTGCTTCCGACCAATTCTAGATCATTTTAGAAATGAAGTCAACCTCAACGGACAGGCCCCACTTTTACCTACTGATCATAGGGTGGAATACTGATGCAACATCGGGGTTAGTGAATCCATGAACAGACAGAGGCAGCATTGTGGATTCCCTAGAGCAAGCAAGAATGTCAAGTGTTTTAGGGAAAGAAATACTGCTTTTGTCAAAAACACCTGCCAGGAGATCTAAAGGAAAGGATAGGGATATTCAACATGTTCAATGGTATGACTCGGCTGAATTATTCTCTCTCCAGTTTAATTAGTGACATCTCCCTCATGTTCCAGAGATACCCCACAGACCCTGGGGCTGAAAGAAGGGTGTCTTCACCAGCATAGACCAGTGCTGTGGGCTGACTGTGTGACTTTGGAGCTGTGGCATCTACACATTCACTGGCATTTGTTCGACAAGCAGCACTTCTCTAAGTGAATCCTTGGAAAACCTTAAGTCCACTTTACACTGACTATGAGCCCACGTTTTCTGTAGATCCAACCTGTTTGTGGGTTTCTATGATTCTGCAAATTGTATTCTTGCAAAGTCATCCCTAAGGCCGGGAGGGAATGGTGGGTCTGCTGCACTTGCCTGTAAAACATTTTGGATAATCTTCTAAAAACTGGATGACTTTCTTAATTTGTTTTCTTTAGATATATATGACAGTAGAATGTATTTTGACATATTATACATACATGGAGTATAACTTATTCTAACTAGGACCCCATTCTGGTAGTTGAACATCATGTGGAGTTATACTGGGAGATTATTCATATATGAACAAAGGAAAGTTATGTCTGATTCATTCGACTGTCTTTCCTATTCCCATCCCCCACTCCCTTTGTGAATTTCTATTCTCCCTGCTCCCTTATTGAGAGCTGGTAACCTGAGGAAACCTGACTGCCTGTAGCAGCATTGCACATTTCAGTCTACATAGTCAGCTTTTGCTGCAGTAAAAAACAATCCCAACATTTGAGTGACTTAAAATAATGACCAATTACTTCTTGTTCCTAAGGGCTGAGGGTTAACTTTGGATCTTCTTGGCTCTGTTACTACCATATGTCTTCTCTTTCAGACTGAAGGAACAGCCTTTGAAGACATTGGGTGAACAAAACACTCTGCCCACTGGTAAGCATAAGAAGGGCAGACCAGGAGTGAATAAGTTTGGAAAAATACCATAAGATATCACATGGGCCTTGATTCCATGTCATGTCTTATTTCTTCATTTGTGGCACATATTTAATTTCTGTGTTCTGTGGAACTATAAAATTCTTGGGGAAAGGCTTAGAACCTTGGATTCCTTCCTTCATAACTTTACCTTGGGCAAGTTATTTGACTTGGTGTAGTTTTGAATTCCTCATCTGTAAAACAAGAAAAATGATAGGCCCTACCTTTAGGGTTGTTGAGAGGACTATATGAGATAATGCATATGTAGTATCCATCTAGTAAGGTGCTTAATGGAGCTCATCAATTCATCACTCATCTTCTTCCTAATTCTCCCTTCTGTTTACTCTCTTTTTTTTTTCCTGCTCCTCCTCATCCTTTCATTCTTATTTCTCTAGTCAGTTTTATAAGACAGACTTTTCTTGTGAAATGTTCAAGTATTTAACCTCCTTTTGCAGACCACTTACTTTAGCTGGGATGGTGGAAGTGACCTTGGAAATGATATAACATAATTTATAATTAGCGACACCATATGTATCTGTCAGAAGTTTCATTAGCACATCTTGACTTCCTCAAATACTTCGATGTTTTCTACCAGCATGATCTTTGGTCATGTTGTCATCTCAAGAGAGTTTGGGAGATGTCAGAATTAAAAAAAAAAAAAAAAAAAAAAGGCAATGAGAATAATAAAGAGAGGGAAGGTATAATTCTTAGGTGATATTTTCCATACACAGAAAATATTTTTCATCTACATTTTATATATGAAACAACTATGTGGAGCAGTTATTTAGTCATCTCAGATCATGTCACTAGGAAGTAGAGCTGGATAACCATGGCTGGGTGAACAAAGTCCTGTTGATTTTTCTATTAAAGTTCCTTTGCAAACCATGATCTCCACTGGCTCCTTCCTGATTTGGTCATTTTTTGTCACCTTCACTGCTGCAATATCCTCCTTTGGGCTCTTTGTGCCAGCAGCCATCCCCTGCAGCCTATGCCGCACATTTCCATTAGCCTCATCTTCCTCAAAAGTCATGTATGTCACTTTACTGCTCAACAGCCTTCCAAGGCTCCAAAGAGCCTGAAGGAGACAGCCCAATATCTTTGCTCTG